TAGAGTGCTTTAAAAAATGTTGTCTTGTTTTGAGAAGAAATTTTGTTTTGTTTTTGAGTTCTTGCTTTTGTTTTGTTTTTTAAATGGCAACTTATATAATCTTTTTCAATAAAAATTGAATTAAATATAGATAATTGTAATCCTTAGATTATACAGCCTTTGTAATAAAAAAGGTTCTACAGTGAGTTGCCATTTGAAGAATTAAAAATTTCAGAACCCAGAAACAAAAAAAATCGAATTCACATTTTTATAGTAATAATTTTTTTTAAATAAATAGTTTCCTAATGATATCAAACATGATTTTCGAGAAATCGTACAAATAAATTTTTTTAATTTTCTCGTAAAATTGTTTTTTTTTTGTATAAAATTTTTTGGGAAATTCGTCTCTGTTTTGACCTAGGACTGATAGTTTTCGAGTTATAAATTTTTAAATTGTAAAAATTATTTATTTTGAGCTTCAGAGTTGCAACCAGTGAAATTAATATTTCATTAATAATAAACCTGATTAATTAAATAGCAATTTCCAATTTCATTTTTACGGTTCATTAATCAATTTGTACGTTATGCAAACTTGCTGAAACGCAACGAAATTGTTACTGAAAAACCAATAAATAATTTAACGTTTTTTTGTCAAATTTAGCGAAACTATTCTAAGCTAGTACATATTTGCAATTTTTTCGATAAGTACTATTATTGCTAGACGGATAATTAATAGTTATTTGTATTACAAGGGAGGAAAGTGTTATTGGGTTAGGTACATTTATTTTTATTGTAATTTTGACAGATGAGGAGGGAGGAAAATTTTTACCTCCCTGGGAGGTAATGGTCACTTTCCTTTCTGAAATTAGGGCGGGAAAACTAACTTCCTGATAGGGTCGTAGGAAAAATGTTTTCAAATGGTACCAAACTTAAAAGGGCAAATATACAAAATTTTGAAAAAATCGTCCAAATAAAAATTTTCAAATCTCATGAAAAAACATGTAATACATATGTAAAATCGTCCGAGGAATTCACACCCTTTGGACCTAGAACTGATAGTTTTCGGGTTATAAATTTTTAAATTATAGAATTATTTACGTCGATGTTCAAAATTGCAACAATCAGTATTTTGTTAATAATAAACTCGGTTAATTAAATAGCATATTCCAATTTAATTTTTCGTTTGAATAACCAATTAGCTGATTCTACAAGAAAAAATATTTTACAACAAACAATTTAACCAAATTGTTACCGAAAAACAAAGAAAAAATGTTGTGAACTTTTCATTTTTGGGCAAAACTGTGTCACTATAATATGGGTCAGTGTAGCGTTTGTTTGGGATCAATATTTCATTCCAATGATAAATTTAATTAATTTAAATGGATTTTAATTTTTTTTGAGTTTGTGCAAACTTGACCCGAGATTTCCGAGTAGCGATAAAAGATAATGGCCAGGAGCCCAGTGTCCACCGACTTTTAGTGCAAATTGGTAAAACTGCAACCGCACATAATCGTAAAATATTATCGAAAGTCTCGATAAGAGCGACGTTTAATAAATTCGCGTATTTAATGGCCCCGGTGCAAATCCCTCWCGATTTTATAGGACCGGATAATAATACCGCAATGGCGTGGTAAAATCCTCCGACAAATTACAATACTTCCATACGTGTTTATGCTTCCTCCTGAAATACGAGATCAGGCAGTTCGGGAGATGAATGGACCACAATGAATGCGCTTTAACAAATAAAGAGACACCACAGGCTCAGTCGATCCGTTGGCGCGACTTCGAAAGCATTACTCGTACTCGAATCTCGCACAAAACACGCGATTCACTACATTTTTATTTTTTWAAATGCATCGCAAGGGTTGTGTTAGTGTTTATCCGGTCTGAGGCGAAATTGGGCATTTTTGACGGAAAAATGGCATGTAAGTAGCGGTTTGCACARCTGAGGAAGCGTTTTTGAGCCTAYTTTMGGATTAAATTGAGATTTTGTAACAGTTGGGAGTCAAGGTTTTTTCTGCTCCAATTTTGTGAATTCAGTGAGAATCCGTTCATTCACTTTTTGAGTATCACTCTGTCAACATCTCTGTATACACATTTAAAGAAAATGTTTCGAAATTTGTTGGCTTAGTTCATGTTTTGTTATTTTTGAGAGATGACTACACTTATTATTTTTGATGGTACAAAGTAAAAGCCGAGGTAAAAGCAGTTCAAGGTGTGTTTGGAGTGAGACAAATTTTCATATTTTTCCCAAATTACATAACTTAGGTAGATGAGAGAAGGTTACTCAGATACTAATTTGCTATCTTTKATCTTGATAACTTTGGGTAATTTCTAGATTATGACTCTTTCTTGTGGTT